CCCATTACTCCCCATTTCCCGCATTGTTCCCCAATTTCCTCCACTGTTCCCCAATTTCCCCCATTGTTCCCAATTTCCCCTATAGTCCCCAATTTTCCCCATGCTCCCAATTTCCCCTATAGTCCCCAATTTCCCCCATTACTCCCCATTTCCCGCATTGTTCCCCAATTTCCCCTATAGTCCCCAATTTCCCCTATAGTCCCCAATTTTCCCCATGCTCCCAATTTCCCCCATCGCTCCCCAATTTCCCCCATTGTTCCAACTTTCCACTATTTCCCCCCATTTCCCCCAGCACTCCCCAGTTTCCCCCATCATCCCCCGTGCTGCCAACCCCGGAGGCGGCGGTTGCGGGGCCGTGCCCGTGCCCGGCGGGGCCCGTCCGGTAACGGCCCCAACGGCCCCCACCAGCCCCGGGGCCCCTCAGCAACGACCCGCGGCTCGCCCGGAGCGCCCGCCTCCGTGCTGGATAACCCAGCGGGGCCCGGCAGCTCCCGGGGCGCCGATCCCCGAGGGATTTATCGCCGATCCCCGAGGGATTTATCGCCGATTCCCGAGGGATTCGTTTATTCCCGAATTTCGGGGGTTTCTGCACCGCCCCCCCCCAGCCCTCACGCAGCGGGACCGCCAGGGGGCGCCCGCAGGAAGTGACGTCACGCGGCGGGCGCGCCGGGCTCCGCTCCGGTTCCCCGGGACCAGCGGCGGTGAGTGAGGGGGGCGGCCGGGGCTGAGGGGAGCGGGAGCCCTGGGAGCGGCCGGGAGCGGCTGGGCTGCACCGGCCGGGCTGGGAGAGCGTCAGGGGGACGCGGTGTGGGGTGCTGAGGGGACCTGGGGGGCTGTGAGGGGATGAAGGGGGCTGTGAGGGGATGAAGGGGGCTGTGAGGGGAGCTGTGGGGCTGTGAGGGGATATTGGGGCAGGGGAAAGGGGGAGACGGTAGGGGAGCTGCCATGATCTCCCTCTCTTCCCTCTCCAACCTCACCTTCCTCCCCTGGCCTGGTGCAGCCTCAGGTGCGGCAGAGATGGATTCGCAGGACATGAAGGAGCTGCAGCAGGAGGTGATGGAGGAGCTGGGAATCTCCATGGAGGAGCTCCAGGAAATCATCGACAAAGAAGTGGACAACTCGGAGTGGGTGAGGCAGTGGAAGCAGCAGCTGGAGGAGCTGGAGCAGTGCATGAAGCACAAGGAGGAGGAGGTGGCCCACGTTGACCAGCTCATTGACGATGCCGTGAGGTGCGTGGCTGGACTGCCGAGGAGGGGGACGCGGGGGCCACTCCCGTTCCCTTCAGGGCAGACCCACGGTGTGGCTGGTTCATGAGCCACACTGGCACCCTCCCCCCAAGGCTTTGAGACCCTTCCCGTGGGCACTTCCCTCAGTGCTCAGGGGTAGCTCCTGGCCACGCCTGCGGAACCGGGGAGGCACAGCTGGTTTCCCTCCCCCAGGGCCATGGACAAGTGCGAGACGCTGGCCAAGGAGCTGTACTCCATGATGGGCCTGCGGTACCGGGAGAGCAGCTCGGAGGACGAGGCGCCGGCGGCCACCGAAGTGATCGAGATTCCGGACGAGGAGGAGGACGACGACGTCCTGAGCGTGGACTCGGGCTGGAGGCGCAGTTCAGTGTCCCCAGCAGGGCAGGGGACGGCTGGGGATAAGGGAATGCTCTTAGCTCATGGGGAGCGTCTGCCAGATCCTGTTTGTGTCCCAGAATTCTTGGAGTCCCAGACTGGGATTTCGCCCTTTTCCCACCTGCCTCACTGTTGTCCCTATCAAATAATTCCATGTGAGGTTGAGGAAAAGCCTTGTCTGGCTGTATTTCCTGGCAGGGATTTGGGATGGGCACTTTTCCTTGTTTCCTTCTGCTTTCTGTGATTTAATTAGGATGGATTTTTTTTTCCCCACAAAAAAGGGTTTTAAACCACTGTTTTCTTCTCACTCATAGGCAGCAGCAGTCCCAGAATCTTCAGGGATCAGAGTCTGGTGAGTGGGGAGGCTCTGGCTAGAGATGTTTCCTCATGGGTTTTCCTGAGACACAGTGTTGTGCTAGGTGCAAAATACCAAAAGTTTTCCCGTGTTTCCTTTCTCTTTCCTCCAGCTGCGGGAAGCAATGGCTGCCATGAGGAAATCTGCCCGGGATGTTGCAAAATTCATGGATGCTGTAAACAAGAAAACCAACTTGCAGGAAGCACAGAAAGGTGTGGGAGCTTCCAGGGGCTGTGTGCCCTGGCCCTGGGCCTTTTCTTCCCAAAAGGGAAAAACAAAGATCTGCTTTTCCTGCTAGAAATCTCCATTCATATTTATTGATCCCAAAGTGCTATTTTAATTTAGGGCATACTGGTTTTGCATTCTTGCTTTTTCCCCAAGCTGTTTCCATTCAGTAAAAAGGAGGCACTTGGGCTGCCTGAGGGGAAGGAAAGCAGAAATTCTTCTTCCAGAGCCGAGCTTCCAGCTCGGAAGGGAGCTTTGAGTGGTTTAGGACTGACTTTCTGCTGTTGTTACTTGGTAGATGCACAACCCCCTCAGGAATCTCCTGGCACTGCCCAGCCCATCACTGTCCCTGCAGCCCCTAGCAATGATCTCAACACTGATGGGGACCTCAAAGTGGGCATGAGGATTTTGGGGAAAAAAAGAACGAAGACGTGGCACAAGGGGACGTTGATTGCCATCCAGACGGTCGGTATGTGCTGTGCATGGGGCTTTCCTAGGATTTTGGGTGGGAAACCTGGACTAAAAGCCGTCAGAGCACCTGGAAGGGACTGTGTGAGCAGCACACCTCCACTGCTTCACCCTCGAAATTAAATCCTGAAAGGCTTTGAAGTGAATTCTGAATTAATTCTGAATAAACGGATCTCAGAGTGACCCAGAGCGTCGGAATTCCGCTGTGAAATCACATGGCATTTGTTTATTTTCCCATTTATTTATCTCCTGTTTGCTTTAAAATGTTTTTCCAGGTGTTGGCAAGAAATACAAAGTGAAATTTGATAATAAAGGAAAGAGTTTGCTCTCGGGCAACCACATTGCCTACGATTACCACCTGTCTGCTGAGAGGCACCACGTGGGCAGGAGGGTGGTGGCCAAGTACAAGGATGGCAATCAGATGTGGCTCTATGCTGGGATCGTAGCTGAGACCCCCAACGTGAAGAATAAAGACAGGTATTCCTTATTTCCCCATCTCTGTTTTTTTTTTTTAGGCCAAAAAAAAAAAAAAAAAAAAAGGTTTATTTGAATACCCTTCAGGTGCTGAATAGCGCCCTCCTCAGGAATGTGATTCTGACTTTCTTCACCTTTCTTATCTCTGAAAATTCAGGGTGGGGCTTCCACTCTTGTTGGTGGCCCTGAGTCAGGAATTAGATCTGCTAATTTATTCCAGTTATCATCCAAATGTTGAGTCTGGGCTCCTTGAGGTGTGAAACAGTGGGAAGAAATAGGAGCCCTGGGAGGGTAGAGTGGCAGCGGTGGTGCCAAAGCTCTTTAGGAGGAGAAAGAGCAGGTTTGGAGCAGCTTTTTTGGGAATAAAAAAAGGGCAAGGCTGCAATGACCTATTAAAATAAAAGTTTGTTGTTTTCCTGAAGTGATAAACGATTTAATCTCCCCGGATCTGATGTAAATTGTGTTGGATTTTATCTGATCCATTTAATAACTGAAAATGAGCTGAATTTCCTACTCAAATTGCAACTTTTCTCCTGGTTGTCATGCTGATCCCTCATGCTACAGCTTTTGTACAGCTCCAGGACTCA